TCTTATTTACTCTATCAAGAGTCATACCCTCAACAAAGCTTTAAAACTCTATATTTATTCACTACTTCCGACTATATCCTTTTGATCTAACCCATTATTCTTTTTTAGCCTACCACTTGAACCAACTCGTACCTCCTAACAAGTGACCAGCCTACCTTAATCTACTTTCTCAAAGCCACATATAAGTTTTCAAACACTTGCACAGTGCTAAAATTTTAATGTTGACATCATTACAAGGGAAGACATTATGTGTAATATGAGGAATTCAACTAATTTGAACACTAGGAAACCTACATGTGGGAAAACATAGTGTTGATGCTAGTAATCCTAGGCCAGCTAGGAATGGAGAAATTTTGAGCGATGAAGAAGGGAATTCTTTCGTAGTTCTCAGGGTCCATGCCAACCTTGCACTACCAATGGACCTGAACTCAGATTAATGAAGCAAAGCATTAATTGTGTTCAACAATACAGCAAGGAGGAGATTCGGCCAATGCTAGCTAGTGTTTGGATGAGGCCACTTTTTTAAAATTCTGATTAGTAGGGTGGATCATCCACCCCCACAGATCCATGTGGGGTCGTTGATCTAGATCAATCCATATTGGTAATCCTAATAAATTTTGAAAAATTAAAAAAGGGCTTTCAGGACAAGAACCAAGCCAATACTGATACCTTCCTAGAGTTGGTTCTGTCAAGACAATTCCTAAGCCAAATCAAGAACTCTTGCCCACATCAAGAAAGGAAATTTTTAGGCAGGCCAATACCAATATCCCAACTAATTCACAATCACGATTAGCAGTTCCTAATCCGGATTACAGGGTTTTGAAGCACGGGATGAGGTAAAAGATGGTATTCAAAGTAGAAAAGTTGTATTTTAACATGAAACACAGAGAGGAATCAAGAGGCCGAAGGATTAGCAAATGTTAAACCATAAGCCCATATTCAATTCTGTACATTTATCTTGTTGTTCATCACTTTCAGAAGCATCAATGAAAACCTGAGTCAACATTCTGAAAAGAACAAAAAGATATCACATCAAATCAAAGTAACAACTAAGACAATCACAAAGCCTGCATCTCAAACTACGTAATTAGGTATCCTAAACGAAGCCAAACACCTGATGGAGTGTTCCCCATGAAATACTTGTTATAAAGCACAATTATTGAAGATAATATACAAAATTAAGCATCAGAAGAGAGAGGCAAGGCAAGGTCAGGTGGAACTTCACAAACAACCCAATGGCAAACCCTTAATCAAGAAACAAGCTGCAGCCCTTAACATCAGAGAGAGAGAGAGTGAGAGAGAGAGAGGGAGGGAGGGAGGGAGAGAGATAGAGAGAGAGAGAGAGAGAGAGAGTGAGTGAGTGTGTGAGAGAAAGAGATGGACGGGGACTGCTTTCATGCTTTCAAGCTAGAGAAACATGTCGTCATAAGTCATATTAAGAGAGGAACAATGACAAGAGAGAACAGACTTGCTTGTGTTCCCTTTATGAGTCATATTGTTGCCGCCCCTCTTGGATTGACTGGAAGATCCTTGCAGCCGATTCTGTGGCAGACCTTGCGTTATGTGGCACAACCCTAATAACAACTCCCCTCCTTTCCTGAGGTGTCTCCTCGTCTACTGCTGAGCCCATCAGGAACAGCGGGAGGGCATCCGTCCTCTCTCCACCACCCTCACAGGGGCTGCTTGCAGTGCTTCCCTGAATCTCAGTCTCCCTCGGCCCCTGAACCTTCCACCCGGAACATGAGAAAGCCTCACTCCTATAATCTGATGAAGTATTAAAGCCTCCACCCTCCCTGTCCTGCTGGACTTCGGCAGGTGGGTCCCGCTTTCTGGTGGTCCCCTGGTTTCCAGCAGGTGAGTCGTGTCTACTGGCAACCTCCTCCTGTGTGGTGGGACCCACCACCTCTTGAACGACTCCAGCAGCATGTACAGGCGCTCTTGGAACCGGGTTCATAACTGAGAGGCCATTAGGAGCAGGGAAATAGCTAGGTGAGGCCCCTGAAAACACTTGGATCCCAGCATGTTGATGGGAGGTGGGAAGGCCATATGCTTGATTTGTAAAGTCTCCAGCCATCGGAGGAAGTGCAAGAGGACCTCCATATGTCGGAGCAATGTAGGCTGAAGGAGGACACATCCCAGAATAAGGCTTGTAGACAAGGCCCTCTGAAGGGGACATAATGGGGATGAGCCACTGGTTATTGGTTGGCAGGTGAAAGTACCAAGGAGGGACAGTTCCATCATTGGGTGGAGGGACAGCTGTCTGCTTTTGGATGAAAGGACCATAACTTGAAGCTTGGCAGAGGATTCCTTGGTCGAGACCACCGGAAGGGGTGGGCTGGTTCTCGTTTGGTCTCTCAGGAGAGTTCTGGTTGCATTTTTGTGCGTCTTCTTTTGGTTTTCGAGTCACAGGTTGGGGTTTATGGGCATAATCGGAATTGAGTTTCTTAGGAGGTGCTTTGGGAGGAGGCTTCTGCAAGTATGAGCTATCTTCTAGTAATAGACGAGGAGATGCAGCGATCAGCTTTTGCACCTGTTCGAAAAAAGGAGGGTGGTTAAACTTTTTCCTTTTTTTCTTTTTTTGTTCTTTTTTTCTTTTTTTGTTCTTTTTTATGTGGGGATAGTTCCTGTGATTGTAATCAATGCCCTAAGCACTGATCCAAGAGCCCATACTCGTCAGGATTGGTACATCATTTAGCATCCATAACTCTTATTTTCCTTTTCTTTTCTGAAAATTTGATGAGAATATGATGAGATTTTCTGAGAAACAGATTTTTGTCTTGATAGATCTTTATATTTTCAAAATTTTCCCAGAATTACCAAATAAGACAAGTTTAATCCTGCATGTATGGCTAAATTGAAAATGTAAATTATAGATTTAAGAAACCTATGTTATCGAAAATGGACAACTCAGAATCCAAGAAAATTATTTACTTCGATGATTTTTGAAATTCTTTTAAATCTTTCATTTTTTTGTAACTTGAAGAAGTTTCTCAGAAGTCAGAAATATTAATTTTGACAATCTCCCAAAGAATTACTTCAGCAAGATTTATCACCATATTTGTAATTAGGCAAACCAGGATTCCCCCAGTCACTTAGTAGAGACTACAGAGCCCTTAACAACTGGTGTATATTAGCATTCCATTCCCTATCAAAATGTTCCAAGTGATCTTAGAGAAACATAAAGTATAATAAGATCAAGGCCAGTTTTACCTTGATGAGTCTGTGCAGCTCAAATACTTGGATAGAAAAAGCCCTCTGCTGGCTGCAAACAAAAGCAATGTAAGAACTATGAGTGGCATTCAAATGCTTAGTCTTGACAATTACATCAAAACTGTGTTCCACATGCAACATAAATATTGAGAGCACAAGCCCTATAAATTGCTCAATTAGCAAAAACAGTATATAGGAACAAGAAATATATTTGAGCGCCAGATACAATGGTGCATGCAACCAACTCCCACACATACTACATTGATGTTCTTTTTTTCTGAGAAAGTACACATCATATTGAGCTTTTGGAACCTTCTTGCAGACCAGTTAAATACCATGGACCCAGATTCCAACAAAAGACTCTGAATCAAAGATCCTCTATCTGAATGTAGACATTGAAAGCCGCCACTAGATATTTAGCATCGAATTCAATGCACATGTATGAAACGTATTGCCTTATACAATTAATGGTCATATATATCAGCTCATACTGTAATTTGACTATTAAGTCTCAGATTCAAGTTATAAACAGCCTAGTATTGATATGGAAATAAGTTACAAATCAAACATTAAAATACACAGCCAAAGCTAATAAGTTCAGGCCCCCAACCTCAAACACTAATCCACAGTCATATCTCCTGTTCAAAGAGGATGCATCCAGTGGCCGCTCCATTACAGAAAGTGTAGCACTTGCGAGCGAGGAGATGCAAAACTAACAGTGAGGCAATGACTTGGCCAATTGCAATGAAGAAGCTAGTATTTTGGTGGCAGAAAACACCAATAATGTGCGTGTGTGAAGATTGAAGGTGATCATTTAGTATCAAATTTGATTCCCATGGAATCAGGATCAATCAGTGAAAAGCTTACCAGCTGCCTATCAGGCTTCAGCTAAACCCATATATCTGAACCCCCTGCTAAAGATTACTCTTTTTCTGTTATAGTGATGAGTCATGGAGACTCAATTCAGGCCAAAGAAATCCAAAGGGTGGGATCAAGGGACCGCTGAAGTGTGAGAAGCTGGTGGGTGTCAAGTAACACAAGGCCCTGCTAAACAAATTGGGCAACTTAGAAAACGTGATCTTGAGGTCCCATGTCTGCCAAAGGAAAACTACCATGTCTTTCACAGCCGAGCCAAAAAGCTACGAGGTGAAAGAAGATGATGAAACCTATCAAACCTTACATTAAGGAGATGCAGGGCTTCAGTATTTTCATCATTGGAGGTGCTCTTTTGGGCCTTGATTGAGTCTCAACCAGACCTTTGACAAGGCAAAAGCACATTTTCGCCAGGTTCCACAGTGCAGAAGGCACTTCAGCAAGTACCTAAGAGCGGACTTAAGCAAGTCAATTCAGTTGCTTAAATCTAAAGCCCTATACAAACCTAAGCAAGTATTCTTGACAAGTAATGTGCAACACAAGGGGAATCACAATATCCAAGAGTAGACTTAAGCAAAAGCTTATATATAAGGCATATTGAATGAAAGAAAATCTGTAAATCACAAGCGGAAGGAGGCTTCTGCAGTGTCGGGTCAATATGAACTCCAGTGCTACACAATTTTGACCCAGTGACATGGGCAGCAACCCCACACTTCATGGACAAGCAACATGTTTTTTTGTTTTTCTTTTTCTTTTTTTTTTCTTTTTTTCTTGTGTGTGTGTGGGAGCTCTCAGGGATTTGGTCTTTAGGGTATCAAGGACTTCCAAGCATTATTCCACAGAAACGGCTTCTTAGGCCGTTTTCTTCTCATGGCTGGCCAGGCCACGAATATTCCAGATGAGAATTCCATTTTGCTATGATGGAGGAGAAGGCCAGGTGTGAAGAACATCTGAGGCATCGGCTCTCTCCGAGCTCCCCAAGCATATATTGGAACTAATTGGGAGGGTAAAGGAATGCCCCTCAGTATTTATATCGTAGGATAGTATGAAAAGCTCTTGCATTCCTTTGTGTGTTAGCTTGCCATTCTCAGATGTGTTTTCTCTGAAAATCTTGTTCAAATCCATCGCAGGGCCATCATTGAGAACTCCATCGAATCAAGCATGTCATTGACAATCGGCTTCCTGCAGTCGACTTGCTCCATCGCATCTTGGTCAGCAGAAAAGTATGACTCTACATCAGCATTGTACAAGTCATCTATGTTTGCTTGAGGAGTGGAAGTTTGGAAAGATTGGGGCTTATAATAGGCTCGTGTTGGTTCAACTTCAGGAAATTGTACACAGAGGCATCCCCAGCTATCATGCTAAGGGGGGTAATGTCATCCTGGGTCTCGGATGTTGTGCCTTGCAGTCACGGTATTGAGTTGGCAGCAGTAGTGGTGCCGAGTAGGACATAGGGGATGTGGACACTTGATGACATGGCTCCGGACTGTTATCGAACTTGGCAGCAGTGGCAGTGAGACTGAAGAGGAAGAAAGGAGTGCAGCCAGTTGATGATGTGGCTCCAAATGTGTGAAGGAACATGCAAAAGAGGGGGTGGCCCCGGCGAGGGATTGGGGTGGGTGGTGATTTGTTGTTTTAAAATGGGTGAGTTGGCAGTTGAGTGTGTGGCCAGGGGAGTCCGAGTTGGAATTGGTGATGTTCTGTCACACTTTTGGGCCGATGAGGTGATGATATTAGTTCTATTAGAGGTAGGAAGCACTCTATTTCACGAGGACAGATCTTGGAGTACAGTGGCGTTTCCCTGTTTATGCATGCTGATTTTGCAGAGATTAGGGCGCTAGTAGGTTTGGGGTTGGATACAACATCATTGTAGCTGGGTTGGATAGGGATGAGGCTATAGTTACCTATTTTTGTTGGATGAGGTGAGAGTAATTGTGATACAATTCTGGGAGCGGGAGAGATCCCAGGTTGGAAATAGACATGATTAAAAGAATTAGATGGCCATTAAATGGTTGGTGGAGATTAGGTTGCTTCTGCTCTCTCTCCAAAGTCGACAGAGGATAGTTTGACCTTGGTAGGGAACTTTAGATCACAAAGGTTGTAGGATCGGAAATCTGGAGGTGGTGGAGATTTGGGATGGGAGTACAAGAATGGCAGAGGGGCTGGTATAAATCCATGGATTTGGTGAAACTCGTATTCTCAAGCAAGACCTTTTAGAAAATGCTTCTTCTAACCTCCACAATTTGATGATTTCTATCTTCTCTGATCCCTTTGGGACCCCTACTCTTCTTCAAAATTTCTCACTGCCTGAAAGAAACTCTAGCAAAACAACTCGATAAGCCACCTTTTAACAAGTGGAGGTAATTGCTTTGTTCGTCTACATGAAAAGGCAAAAGACAAACTTAATCCTAGTTCCGTTAAGAGTGCTTTTAACAGACATTACCCTGTCCAGAATGGACACCAAGTGTTATAACAACAGAAAGAATGCTGTTATACCACTTGCCGTGTAATGCACTTTAAGAATGTATTGCTGTGGGGGGGGGAATAAGGATTCAAGTCTTCCAAGACCAGAAATAAGTCTTGTTACCCCGGATGCCACGCAAGGCACATTAAGAATCCATATTATTTTTTGAATGTTCAGGATTCATTACTTGGTCGATTATCAGGGCATATTAGGGAACAATGGTCAACTAACTTATCAGAAAATAGTTCTCGTAACCTCTCCCACAATTTGCTTACCTCTATCTTTTCCGATCCCACATGAGATAGTGAATGCCATGTCCAGCAATTGCAATAGCTCAATTTGCACGAAATGCAAGAAGTGAGATAGATGAAATGCAGTCCTAGCATGTCACCTCAAAAGGTGGCTCTCCCACCTCCAAGCTCTTACCTAGCTTTGCGTCTGATCTCTTGATTGTCCCGATAACTTGGTGTTACCCAATGCAGTGAAAGAGGGACCCAAAAAAAATAAAAGAAAAAAGAAAAAGACTTGCACAGCAAATTGAACATTTTGTTTTCCAACTCCCCTAATTACTACCATATCTTTAATCCGGCAATGATTTTTCCTATAAGCCCATAATCTTGCAAAAGAGGCATCTTGTAATGAGTGGAAAGAGGTAATGCAGGAAGAAGTACAAGCAGTTCAAAGAAATCAAACCCAGGATCTCACTACATTTCCTAACAGGAAGAAGACTAACAAATACTATTACCTATTAGGTCAATGAACTTGAAGTTCATACCAAATAGAAGTATAAAAAGATAAAATGTGTGCCTAATAGCCAAGGGATTTACCTTAATCTATGGAAATGACTACAAGGAAACATTCATGTCAGTTGCCAAAATGGGGAAATTTGTCCATTGGAGCGCAAGAAAGCTGGCAAAATAACTCTAATAAATGGCCTTCATGAAAATCTCGAGGAATTGTGACTGAAAGCTGGCCTGATTTGAAAATCAGGCTCAGTTTGCAAATCAGAAAAAGGCCTCTTGCACCAAAACTAAATCACGAACCTGGTTCGATTTCAATCATTGTGAATTGCAACAGCATCAGTTTCAAGTAGTATCTTGTTACTACAGGTCTAATGGAAAGAGTACTGGTTATACATTTACATCATAGTGGTTACAGGAGATGATGCCAAAATGCATATTAGATACAATCTAAAGGTTACTTACTATAAGTAAACAGTATGTATCAAGGACATGAAAATGTTGTCATGCTTTCTTAGCATGGAACGTGGAGAGATCAGCGAAGGGAACCTTCATATCCTAGAAGAACTACAAGCATGAGTCAGTTGAAGGAAATAGGAAGATGGTCGGTTCATAACAGAAGAGAAAGGATGCTGGAGTGGGTGTGGAGGATGCCTAAAGTTTAGCCTGTCTAGGAGCACCCCTATAATGTATGTATGTATGTATGTATGTATGGAAAACACTACGCAACGCCTATGGGCGAAAATGAACAGTGATTTCGCCTACCCCCATGACCGTTCAAAGTTCATCACGCGGTCACGATTGTCCGGTAGTGTTTCATTTTTCATTTTTTTTCTACAAATTGGAATGACCTGAAATTTAGAGCGTGTATTCATCAAAAATAGGGGAATCTTTGAAAATTATAAAAAAAATATTTTACATGAAAAAATTGATCAAAATACCCCCTAAAAGTTTTGGGGGTATTTGGTCAATTTA